TTCCCTCTCTGAGCTTCACTTCCCCCATATATAACAAGGGAGTGGCCTTGCTGATCTGCAAGACCCCTCCCAGCTTGGCCATGTGTCATCCAGGCTAGGAACAGCTCGTATCTGGCAGCCAGTTGCTCACTCCCAAGTTGTCTTAGCCCCAGGAAGTGGCAGCAAGGCAGGAAGACGTTGTCTGTGGCCAGGCTGGGGCCTTCAACTTGGCCTTCAGAATCTGGTTGAAGAGGGGAGAGGGGTGGCACCCCTGTGGGCTGGCTGGGGGAGGCAACAGGCAGGAAGTGGGTGAGAGAGGTGAGCGCCATTCTGGAGGTGCAAACACAGAGCCGTGATGCACAAAGGACAGAGGGCTCAGGTGGCCTGGGAGAGGGTAAAGGAAGGCTCCCCGGGAGAGGAGCCTTTGAACAGGTTTTCAGGTAGCATTTGGCCAGAAGAGATCTGAAGGCAGGAAGGACACCGTCGGCTGTACAGACAAAGCTTCCTGGCCCTGCTTTGGGAACTAGAGTCTGTCCCACAGCCTGCAGCCACATCCCTCCTCCTCCCCGCTTCCTGCAACTTCCCCCCACCCCGAACTCCCCCCATCCCCACTGCCCCACCCCCCCGCCCCGAAAGCTCCAGCCCAAGGAGAGAAGGCACAGCAGGAGGCTCAGATTCTCAGATTTTCAGCACTCAGGGGAAGGCAGACAAGGCACTGAGCAGGTCTGGTGACCATGTCCCTGCTCTGAGCTTTCTTTGTCCTCCTGGTTCATCCCCTGGCAGAGTTTACTCCCGCCCTCCGGGCTGCTGCTTCTCTAGTGATACCTCCACGGCCCCTGCCTGGTCTCCACACACCTCCTCCAGGGGGAAGTCGTCCTGCCTGGTCCTCTGAAGCCCTGGCCACAGGTCCGAGGGTCTGCACTAACAGTGTGTGTGTGTGTGTGTGTGTGTGTGAAAGAGCAAGAGTGAGTGCCTGCTGCACAGGTACATACACTCAAGCCAGTGACCGTACACATACTTGCACGAGCCTGGTGTGGCGTATATACTCACAGGAGAATGAGTGTGCCTGGCTGCCGGGCGGGCGTTTGTACACACAGACAGGTGGGTGTGTTTGTGGTGACCTGCGTGGACAGGTAGACAATCACTGCAGATGTTTGCCAGTGACTTTAGGGGATAAATTATGTGGTACATGGAACCGTGCAAAGAGGAGGCTCTGGCCTGCCCCAGCCCTGGCACAGCGCCTGCTGCTACTGATACTCTGTCCAGGGAGGGTGCCTCTCCAGGAAGCCAGCCTCAGAGTTTCCGGGCCGAAACTTGAAGGGAGCTCACAGCTCACGCTCCCCGACCCCACGACGTCTCTAGACACAGTCAAAATGAGGCAAGACCTCCTATCTGTGGACCTGGGGCAAGGTTGGAGCTCTCCTTGCTGCAGAAAAGGCCCCTCAGCCCCTGAGGTAGGGCCCAAAGCTCAGGACCCTGCTTTTGTATGTGTGAGGAGCGTCCACAGGGGCCCCCCCAGCCTGTGACTCACTGGCTGGTGGAGGCCCAGGGATACCCGGAGAGACTCCATATCAGGAAGGATTTTGTGACCCTTCAAGTGGCCTGAAGGCACAAAGGAAAGAAGAAAAGTTATATCTAAGGGAGTAATGCGCTTCCTGTCACTAGAGGCGCGCAAACAGAAGCAGGATGAGGGTCAGGAGTTCTGCCTGGGAATGTTTGGGATCCAGTGGCCTGGGGGCACACGTTCTCATTTGTTCCCCTAATGCCTAGCACAATGCCTGACATATGGTAGGAACTCAATCACTTCTTGATTCTGAAAAATGGGAGGACTAAGAGAAGGAAACCATCTGCTACAAGGGAGGCGTTGAAAGGAACTGGAGCTTAACCCAGACCCAGGCTTGGGCGGTGCTTCCCAGGGTTTAGTGACATAGTGTCAAGTGCCCGAAACACCAAGGAAAGGTTAAGTCATGCTCCTTAGCTGGTGAGAAGATTAGGGGCAGGGTGGGGACTTGGGAGAAAGACGTCCATCCAGTGCGTTAAAAGACCAACCAAGATTTGGGGTTTAACAGAGGCAAACATCTGCTCTGAGCATGGTGCAGCTGTCATGTTGTTGGGAGGATTGGATTCTAGACTCGCCTTGCCAGGGATCTGCTGTGTGGCCTCAGTTTCCCTACCTGCACAATGGGAGTTCCAACGAGTTGACCTCTCAGGGCATATTCCACGCTGATGCCTAGGAGTTCATGAAGTCAAAGCAGCCCTGGCTCAGGTTCAGAGAAAATAGGAGGTTTGGGGCAGGGCCAAAAGATCTATCAAATTTTCGCTCAAAAACACACGATGGAGGCAGATTTTGAAGGTCAATCCACACACAGTAGCTGATGAAGCAGGCCCTATGGGGGGACAGGTGGACAAGCGCTCTGGTAGGCTCAGAGGCCAGGACCCTCTCCAATGCGAGGCACAATGTGTGCTTCATGCATGGAGACCAGAGCTGACCTGCAGAGACAAGTCAGATTTCTACAGGCTGAGGGAGAAAGAAAGGCATCCCCAACAGTAGGAACGGTGTAAAGTAGCTCAGAGGCTTCCTGAAAGCCAGGAGGACCCTCAGAGACCACCTAGCCCAGTGATTCTCAAAGTGTGGTCCCTTGGCCAACAGCAGCAGCATCACTCAGACCTAATGAGTTAGAAACTCTGGGGATAGAGCCCAGAAATCTGTGTTTTAACAAACTTTCCAAGTGATTCTAAGATTTGAGGACCTTTGATCCAGCCCACTGCTTCCCAGACTATGGTGGTAGAATACTTATTTGCAGGAGGTTAATGGGTGCTCTGTAAAAGGAGGATCTATGGTCAAATAAGTTTGGGAATTACATACTCTACACTGCTTTCAGAAAGTCCCAAATCACAGTGGAGCATTAAAGGCTCTGAGAAGTCCTGCAGTATATTATTTACTTTTGATTAACCCAATGTTGTTTCAAATTGATTTTTCAGATTGCCTACTAACATTTCCATTAAGACTCTTAGGGAAATTCTGATCCACATCTATCCTCATTTTTCACATGGATAAATTGCAGCCTAGAAGAATGGGGACTGCCCAAAGTCACAGAGAGAGAGTGTGTCAGAGCTGGAAAAGACCCTAGCAATATACCTCATCCCTAAAGAGACTCTGTGGGC